CCTTTCCTGCCCTGGTGCGAATGAGTGAGGAAGTGTGTGAGCTTTAGGCCCCTGTACAAAGCGCTGCAGCGTATTAGCTATGGCTTCCCAGAACGGAAAGACGAGCCCTGCGAAGCAGCAGACGGGGACTCCTCCGTGAGCCAGGTTCGAGGTGGGGAGTTCCGCCTTGCCCCTTCCGTCCTCGGGCAGATCGAAGCCACTAGGTAATGGTGTGGGCAAGCAGACCTACCTGCAGCCGGGGGCCCAGGTCTCTGCCCGGGTGGCTGCCTGCCCTGCTGGCCGCGGGGCCGGCGTGACGGCCCTGTAGTCAGGGCGGGCGTGCGGAGGTGTGGAGCCCGTTGTCCCCAGGAGCAGCCTGGCCTCCCTGTAAGCAGGGCGGAGGGGCCTGCTGCTCTAGACAGCCACGAGGAGTGATTCCCGGCCCGCCTGTAAGGAGGCAGGTGTCCGGACCCCCCTCGGAGAGAGAGGTGGGGGGCTGAGGAGCGTGGGGCAAGGCGGGCCCTCCCTGTAGTCAGGGCTAGGTGCCGGCCCCGGCAGGCGCCAGCGCCCCGTGCTCGCGGCCTGGCTGCTGGTGCTCACTCCCGTGGCCGTGGGGGAAGGCTGAGCTCTCCGTGTGCCTTGGGTGTCGGGGACCTGCCGTAATCGGGGCCCGGGTCCCGAGCGCTTCTGCTCAGCTGGCAGTCTGTTTGGGGTGAGCGGCCTGCTAGCGGGCCTGGCTCAGAGTGCCCCTGCCTGGGAGAAAAGGAGCCTCCCTGTGCCACGGGGCCCCGGGCTGCCCTGTATGTCGGGGAGCAGCTAGTGCCCTGGGGCCCCTGGCTTTTAGCGAGCGCAGCCGTGGCCCCGGCCCCCTGTAAGCAGGGGCGAAGCCTGCTGGGCTGCTGCTCTCCATGCCCAGCTCTGTTTGCCCAGAGTGCCTGCCTCTGACCCCAGCTGCAGCTTCAATCAAGACGGCTGGAGGCTGTGGAGTTGGCAGTGGCTGCTGGTGAGTTTAGCGAGGGGTTTCCGCGGGAGCTGTTGGGGCTGGGGTGCAGCATCCTCCTGAAGGGCATCTTGTTCTGGGCCTCGTGGGGGAGGCGCCGGTGCCAAAGGGCAACGCGGAGAGCGGCCTAGTGAGTGTCCCTTTGGCGAGAGCGGCTCCTTCGCGTTGTTTTTTTTGGGGGGCTGGCATATGTTTGTCTGTCAGGGTGAAGAGGTCCTTCTCTTGGGTCAAGCTGTGCTGAGCTCCTTGCTCCCTGCTATGCTGATGTCCTTCATGTAGGCTGTGGGGTTATGGGCCTTGGGTGTGCCTCTGGGCCCCTCCCCCTCCCCCCCCCCACTGCCACAGCTGTTTTTATCCTGTATTCTCAAATGTCATTTTATAAATTAAGTCATCTTGTTGTTTGGAGATAGGGTGTCACAGAAATACAGACAGGATTGCTTCATATGACGGCTATTCAGCACACTCAACCTACATCTGGGATATATGAACACCATGTGCAGGAGCACTCAGGGCACCAGATGGCAGCATTTATTGCCTAGAGATGCGGCAGCAGCTGGTGCTGACAGTTCAGGACTCGTCTCTTCATGCTGCTGAAGCACCTACAGATCAGGCTGAGATGTTTTTTCTTCTCTGCATTTATGATCATGAAACTACCAGGCTAAGGTAACATGCAAGAGCAAAGCGAAAGCACTTGTGCCTACTCTCCCCAGTCCTTTCACAGGCAAGAGCTGGCTTCTTATGTAAGAGATTGTTCTTTTCCTTATCAGAACTCCATATTTTGCCTTTCTCCTCCTGCCTTTTTCCCTGCTGGAAGACTCTAGGTTCTCAATAGGCTCCTGGATCTCCTGAGCATCAGCAAAGGATTTTTAGCAGATTTAGCACCTGCCAAGAACTTTCTGTATTAGCAGATTTCATTCTTCGAATGCTGGTCAGGGCTTTTGTCTGAAAGGGAAAAGGCTGACTGAAATATAAATACTAATAGATATCAAAAGACTTGTGACCCTTCTGCTGTGGTGGAAGAGAGCCTGTTAGGCATAGCAGCTGGTTTCACACCTCCTTTACTTCAGTTTCCTCTTTAAGGCTCAAATCCATATGCTCGGGGTGGAGATGGCAAGCCACCACTTGTCATCGTTGCTTTCGTTTTGTACCGAAAAGTATTTGAGATGAGATGGCCCCCTTCTGAAGGGGGGTTGGTGTTAATGTCTGAGTTGAGGTTGTTACTGTGATTACAACACATGGTGTAGAGCTATTGCAGTCACAAGATCACTGGATAAGGGGAGGTATGTCCTTCCCAGCACATGTATGAGCAAGAGTATCCTTCTGGTGTCTGACATGAATCTCTGCTGTCCCGGCCAGATGGACACACATAGCAGAGCCAAAGGACGCATTCAGCCCCTCAAAATTATCTTCTTCCAAAGCTGGGTTCCGGAAACCCACAGCTTAGCAATTTCTTTACCTAAGGGACATCAGAGTTCATTTCTTTACAAGAAAGAGTCGGGGGATTTTGCATACAGCACCTCAGCATCCGTTTCATGCCCAGAGCATCCTCATCTGCCACGGGCCAGATGCTGAGATCCTGCCAGTCCTCCAGGGAGGATATTAAAGCCACCCACCATAGTTGTGCTCAAGCACCTGTCCCAAATGCCACCAAGTGTTTTGTCATCCATAAAGAGGGGAAAAAAAGTTTCTTCCACCTTTGTTGATTAAACAGCTCTTGTAGGCAGTGGGCCAAAAGGAAGGTTGACCAATCTGCTTGCAACAGTCAAGCTGCAGAAATAGCATTGCCGAAGTCTCAGATGTTTTTTTTTTGCGGCTTTGCTTTATCAAAGCTTCATTTTAAAACCAGCTAATTTTAGTCTTGTGCTATTGTCCGAACAGCAAGTACTGAACTGTAATAATTGCTCAGGAAGTGTTGATTTAAAAAAAAAAAAAAAAAGTGACAGCCTGATTTCTTTAAACTTTTTCTGGCTCCACAAACCTCCCTTCCTTTGGCTATCTCCATTTCAAAACCAGTCTCTGCTGTGACTACACTGCCAGCCTCAGCACATTCAAAACCAGTTCCTCTGTGTTTCATTTTTAGGTTTTATTAGAGTTCCCCACTAATGCCTCTCTGCATAGAAGATGTTTCCCCCCAAAATGATGTGATGAATTTAAAATGTTTCCCCACTGCCTCTGCAGTGCAGTTCATGTGTGCTGGATCTTAGGGCTCATCTGCCTCAGCCTTACTCCAAGCAAGTGCTGATTCAAAGCTGTTTGTTTTCATACTTCTGGAAATCAATCATCTTCACAGTTGCAGGGCTTAAATTCTGAACCAGGGGAATATTACTGACACTTGAAGGCCCACATACAGCAAAGCACAGTGCTCCAGGCAGATATATGTGTCCACATGGAATCTGCCTCATTTAGATGGTATTGTATGGAGATCTTTTTCCAGATGTCCTGTGGTGCACATCAAGTGATCTAAGACCAATGACTTCAGCACTCACATGAGGATTACTCATCTAATGAGGGGGTTTGCAGGCTCTGCCCCTGTGTTTCTGTGCACTGTTAATGTCATTGCATTCTACTGCATTGTATAATACTAGTCCTTTAAACCCTGGCTCTATTTTTTTCTTCTCTGTTCTTTCACTGATGACTTTTCGGGTCACATCTACCACTGATGCTCATCACACAAATAAACTGTTTTCTATACACAATAGCAGTAAATTTAGACCATAAAATGTTTTAAAAAGCAAGACTCTTCATCGTATGCTATAGCCTTGGGGAGAGGGATGTTCCACCCTCCTTGTGGAGTGGGGTCGCTCCCAGCCGCCTGGAGGGGGGGTGGGGAACAGAAGGATTCATGGAGCGCTCCCGCGGGCTGCGTGGGGAAGAACGCGCCAGCTGTGGCCCCCCCCAACTG